CAAAATGTGGTGGCCTAAAACCGTGGTCGGCAAACTTCGGCTCTCGAGTCACATGAGGCTCTTTGGCCCCTTGAGTGTGGCTCTTCCACAAAATACCATGGCCTGGGCAGTCTATTTTGAAGAAGTGGCATTAGAAGAAGTTTAAGTTTAAAAAATTTGGCTCTCAAAAGAAATTTCAATCGTTGTACTGTTGATATTTGGCTCTGTGGACTAATGAGTTTGCCAACTAATAAGTTGGCCTAAAACAACAAGCATTATTGTCTCTCAGTTATCATGGGTCAGGAATTTGGGAACAGCTGGCTCAAGGTCTCTCATAATACTGCAATCGATGTCAGCTGAGATTATAGTCATATGAAGTCTTAACTGGGACTCATAGATATACTTCTAAGATGGCATATTGTATGGCTGGCAAGTAGATGCTGGGCGCAGGTGGGAGGCCTCAGTTCCTTTTCATATGGATTCTCCCAGCAATGCTTGAGGTCTTTATGAAAAGACAGCTGGCTTCTACCAGAGCAATCTGAGAAAGGGGGGAGGGCAGGAAGGGAGGGAGGGAGGGAAGGAAAGAGAGAGAGAGAGAGAGAGAGAGAGAGAGAGAGAGAGAGAGAGAGAGACAGAGAGAATATGAGGAAACACTAGGTGAAACCACTATGCTTTTTCTGAATTAGCCTGAGAAGTCACATATCAATCTTTTGCCATCTTTCCGTGCCACCGTAATGGTGCATGTGAAAGTCCTGGCTGATGCTCTCAAGGGCATCAACAGTACAGAAAGAGAGGCAAATACCAGGTTCTTACTAGGCCATGCTCTGAAGTCATTGTCCGTTTTCTAACTGTGATGAGAAGCATGGCTACAATGGTGAATGTGAAGTCCTAGATGATCACAGAGCTGGGAAAACTGTGAACATCATAGGCCAGTTAAATGACCATGGAGTGAGCAGGCCCAGATTACATGTACAATTCAAAGATCTAGAAAAATCACAAAATAACCCTTTCCCATTCCATCAGTTTGGTTTCACTGTAATGACAACCTAAAGTTTAAGTGGGTATCATGGACCACGAAGAAGACAACACAAAAGGGAAAAATCCTGGGATTCCTTTTCTAGGGATGTAATCCATATGTGCAAATAAAACGCCTCAATGGAAATAAAGAAGTCACATATTTTTACTTCTGCCACATATTATTTATTAAAAGCAAGTCACTAACTCTCAGCCAACATTTCAGGGGAAGTCAATTAGGCTCTACCTTTTGAATGGAGAAGTATCAAATAATATGTAGATATTTTAAAATCACCACAGTATCCAAGACAATGTGGTCAAAGAAATCTCAAATAATAGTGTAGACATCTAGGGCTCAATGTTGAGTTCTATGTTATCATCCTTTCAGAACCTCAAAAGTTTAATAAAAGCCGAAACCGGTCTGGCTCGGTGGACAGAGCGTCGGCCTGCGGACTGAAAGGTCCCGGGTTCGATTCCAGTCAAGGGCATGTACCTTGGTTGCAGGCACATCCCCAGTAGAGGGTGTGCAAGAGGCAGCTGATCAAAGATTCTCTCTCATCGATGTTTCTAACTCTCTATCCCTCTCTTTTCCTCTCTATAAAAAATCAATAAAAATATATTTTTAAAAAAAGTTTAATGAGGAATGAAGGCATAGCAGTGCAAAAAGATGACAATTGTGGGAGATAAATTAACAACTAGGATAAGTGAAAATTTGAAAAAGAAAGTTTAAACTTAAACTAGCTTTCATATTTAGTACAATAAAAAATACTTGATATATTTGGAGGGGGGGCGGGAAGCTAGAAAAAAAACTTGACAATCACAGGAGATCAATAGTCATTCAGAGAAGTGAAAGGCCTACTTCAGAGGTACCAGCAGGAAGGCAGAGTGCAGTATTGCAAACTCTAAAATGTCCCTGATACTTGGGAGCCAGGCAGGAGGAGAAAGCTACTGATCCCCTCCTCTGGGAATCCATTCTAATTTTATTTGGCTGTGAGGAAGGTGCCTTGAGCATTTGAGGATTCTGACTCCACCCCTGCTTCTAGGCATGGAACATGTAAGCCAGGCCTAACATATGAGGGAAAATTCCATCCCTTGGACACAATTATTATTATTTTTTTTAGGAGTGGGCATGTAGCTCAATTCCAGATAAAGAGACATTAAAAAACTTGTTTTATTTGTTTTTTCAACGTTTTAAAAAAATCCTCACTCAAGGTATTTTTCCATTGATTCCCAGAGAGAGTGAAGGGAGAGGGAAAGACAGAGAGAAACATCAATTGGTTGCTTTCTGCACTCACCCTGGAGCCTGCAACCCAGGGACATGCCCCTGACCAGAAATGAACCCGGGACCCTTCAGTCTGCAGGCTGATGCTCTCTCCACTGAGTCAAACTGGCCAGGCCAAAGATACATTTACTAGGGCAAATACAAAGTTTATTTGCTTTTCTTAGAGAATGCATGAGGGAGCAATTTCCCCTCTCTTCCCACCTTCTACTCCCTAGATTCTTAAAGACATGCATGCAAACCTGCATTTCATTTTATGTCTGGACATCCAACTATTTGAGCTAATATCTTTTATAAGGTCAATATGAAATGAGAACTAGTCTTTCAACATTTTGTATGTTTGACAATTTTCACAATTAAACATGGAGGGAGTGGAGAACTACATTTAATACTATTGACTACCAGGCTGGAAAAGATTAAACTGTTTGATATGCATTATGTTAGTAAAGGGGTCAAACAAACAAAAACCCCACTCTATTCTTCCAGATCCTCAGGTCCAAAATGTTGGGAGTTATTCTTAATCCCTCTCTTGCTCCCAGTCCCACGACCAGCCCAAGAGTAAAGCCTGTTGACACTGAAAGGTTAAAGTTGGTGATGTGAGGATAAACTAAATAACGTTCTCAGATGGTAAAGGAAATTGAATTTAAGGAAAGGGGGTTGGAGGATGGAGATATCCAAAAGGAAGGGCTACACAGCAAGCACTGAGCCAAAGGGTATTGGGTACAGGATGGCAGCAAAAATATACTTAGGGCTGTGAAACAAGGAAGGGTGTGGAAAAAGCAACAGGAAAGACTAGGCTGGCTGCTTTGGCTCACTGAAAAGTCAGAAAAAAGGGGGCCTTGGAGAAAGGTTCAAGGGGGTAGCTCGATGCCTACTGTTCCCCTGATTGCAAATCTCATAGGGTCTCTTAGAAGTTAGGGGGTATATGCCTGTGGGGGGAGGAGAGGGAGAGGGAATGAGAGATTAAAGGACCCTTAGGGGTCCACAAGGAAATGTTTGGGAGGGAGGGGGGCGGGAGACAAGGATTTGTAGCTTCATTATTGCCCAAAAGGTCGAGTCTCAAAAGTTAATAACCACTGCTTAAGAGGAAGAAAATATATCAGTTTAAAAAAAGTTAAAAAAAATAAAAAAGCCGAAACCGGTTTGGCTCAGCGGTAGAGCGTCAGTCTTCGGACTGAAGGGTCCCAGGTTCGATTCTGGTCAGGGGCATGTACGTTGGTTGCGGGCACATCCCCGGTAGGGGGTGTGCAGGAGGCAGCTGGTCAATGTTTCTCTCTCATCGACGTTTCTTGCTCTCTATATCTCTCCTTTCCTCTCTGTAAGAAAAATAAATAAAATATATATTTTTAAAAAAAGTTAAAAAAAACAAAACAAAACCCGAAAGGCCCAGAGAAGGTTTACGTGTTAGAGAGAAAAAGGAAAACCCCTTCCTTATCGAAGAACTACAAAATTACATCATCAGCCCAGTAAAATAGGGAGTAAAGGCAGCGGGAAGCAGCGTGGAGGCCTGTGAATGGAGACTGTCAATGTTAGAGAGTGGAGTGTGGGAAATGCCCCTGTTTCTCAACAGAGCCTGTGTAGGTTTGGCGCAAAGTCAAGGCCCAGGAGGTGGTGCTCCCGGCTGGGACGGCTGGCACTGTCCTTTAGCCAGCGATCGCCCCTCAGACCCCAGCCGACCCGCCAGGGAGGGAGCGGCCTTTTCACCAAAGACCAGCAGCCCCAGGCGGTGGACGGAGGTCACCTCAGGGCGGCAGCGCGGGGCCAGCGGTGCGTCCGAGCTTCCCACGGTGGTTGTGCTTTCCCTGCTGCGTTCGAGCAGCTGCCTACAGGAGAGCCTCTCCACCTGCTGACTCTTCTCTAGGCGCTGGGCTCATTCATTCATTCAACTCATTCATTCAACCACGGTGAGATTTCCTGGGCTACTTCGGATGCAAACTCTGCGCGGGGTGCTGGGTGGGGCCCTCCGCAGGGAGCTCCCGCGCGGCCAGCGGGGCCGGCACTCTAGACCCGACCGGGAATCTAAAGGGCCGCCGCCCGCATGTCGCAACAGGTTCCCCGAACAGATCCGCGAGCCCTGCCAAGCGGATGCCCGGCTCCGCCTCGCGAGTCGGAGATCCCGCGGGAACAGAGCTCTCGCCCTGGACTCCGCGCGACTCCGGATTTGGGGCGGGCGCTCGAGCGCGGGTCGTAACGGCAGCCGTCAGCGGTTTTGACCTTGGGGCCTGGCACCGCTCCCCAAGGCGATCCGACCCGCAGCGCGAAGGGCTCCGCAGCGCCGGTCCGAGGCCGAAACCCGGCCTCTAGCGTCCCCCGGCGCTCGGCTCGCTTTTATGTAGCCAATCGGATCCCGGCGTGGTGCGGCCGGGTATCAAGGGTGGTTGAGCTTCTCAAAGTTCTGCCTCAAGTTTCACATGTCAGCCAATCAGCGGCCAATAAACAAGAAGCTTCCAAGATCAAAGGGAAAGGGGTGGGAGCCACGCCTGCGGACGGAAGAGTGACAGGTCCCTGCACGAATAGCGCAGAGAGAGTATGCTACGTCACCAAAGGGGCTGGGCTAATCTGGCCGCCGCGCCAATGACGGGCGGGGGGCGTGGCCACGGGGCTACGCGGGAGCGGGAGCACAGGGGCTGGCTGGGCCGCGCCTGAGGCCGACGCAACGGGGCCGGGGGGCGGCGGCGGCGGCGGCAGCGGCGGCGGCGAGGGTGTGCGCCGTGGCTGCCCCGGGTGGATGGAGTTAGAGGGGAGGGGTGCTGGCGGTGTGGCGGGGGGACCGGCGGCTGCGCCGGGGCGGAGCCCCGGGGAGTCGGCGCTGCTGGACGGGTGGTTGCAGCGGGGCGTGGGCCGGGGGGCCGGCGGCGGGGAGGCCGGGGCCTGCAGGCCCCCGGTGCGGCAGGATCCGGACTCGGGCCCGGACTACGAGGCGCTGCCGGCGGGAGCCACTGTCACGACGCACATGGTGGCGGGCGCCGTGGCAGGCATTCTGGAGCACTGCGTGATGTACCCTGTCGACTGCGTCAAGGTGAGAACTCGGACCGGCTCCGAACCCAAACCTAGGGCTGACCCCGACCCCTGGGGTCCAGTCCGGAGCCAGGATCCAGGCTCAGAGCCGGAGCCGACAGGAGTTCTTTCCTAGCTCTGCCACCAGCACACAATTCGACCGATACTCTCCATGCAAGCAAGGTCCCGGCTGGGAGTTGACCCCAGCCAGGAGCCAGGACCCATTTGTAACCGTCAGTGAGATCTGAATCGGGACTCCGGAAGGAAATTCTGTCAGCCCAAGCCCTGGATCTCAGCTGGCATTGCACAGGAAAATAGGGTGGGATGGGATGAGGACAGGTAAGTGCTACTAACTTGATTAAGGTGAAGCCAGCTGGCATGCATCAGACCCTGAGTGGCTGGAGAGGCTCTCTGGCAAGCGCTTTTACACGCTCCTTGCTGTGTCTCCCCTCAAAAGCGACGGGGCAGGAATCAGAACCTGGGACCTCTCAGCTAGATCCATGAGGGATTGGAAATTATCGTGCAGTCGTAATGCAGAGTACCACACTGGAAATAACGTGGGGAAAGAGGTTTCGGTTTCTCCGTGCAGCAAGGGTGCCACCCCACCTATTTCCTGAACATGCAAACTGAGCTGGGGTCAGGATTGTGTACTGTATGCCGGGAGCACATCAGCTCCCAACCGAGAGAGGGCACTGACTGTATTTCTTGAGCCCTCTGGAGTAGACAAAAAAAGGGGGAAAGTGGCCTAGGAGGGAAGCATTACGGTATCAGAAAGAGGATGTAAGTGTGAAGAAGATGATAGGGGCTCAATTCGAGGGCAGGATTTGGGTGAAAATACGCAGGCTGCTTAGTGAACACAGAAGTCAGGTCCTTCTGCAGAAGGCTGGGTGAAGAGGGGAAATGGGTTATTCTTTACAGTTCTTATGCATGAGCAAGGCTACCATCCACTAAAAACACAGAACTAAATTGAGAAGTACTGGTAAACTTGAGGGGAGGGAGGGGGGCTCTAGAAATAAATATGACAGAGACTGGTGCCTCCTTTCCGTGGTTAAGGGTATGGTCAAACAAGGTCCTGACGGCTCTTTGATGCATGCTTTTGCCTCAAATAAGGGAAATGTTATATATTCGAAAGGAGAGTCTCAGTTTGAGAAATGCAACCTGTCTCTTCTGCTTTTCCCTGGACCCAGTACCGGTTCATATTTTCATTAGTAATGTGGATGAGGAAATGGGGAAAGGGCTAATCAGCTTTGTGGATGACAATGCGTTGGTAGTAGGATGTACATTGTAAAGGTAACTCCTAACAGGGGCCATGCCCGTGGAAAGGGTGAATGCCCTTGGCTAAAGTGGACATTAGAATTTTAAATGCCCTTGTCAATGGCGAGGAATAGAAATAAACAGTAAAATCCATCAGAGAGGAGTAAGAAGATGGTTATCGCTCTATCAATATTAACATGTAAATTGGATAACTATAAATGAAAGAGATTTAGACATTTATGTAATAGAGGTTAGGTTGAATGACTGAATGGTCAATGCTGTATATCCAAAAGCTAATATGCTCTAACTGCAAAATAACGTCACTATACTTAGACTGGGAGTGAAGAGCAGGGCCTAGGGTGCCCAGTTTCAGGATAGGTAAAACTAGATCAAGGAACGCAATGAAAATTATTTAATGACTTGGAAAATACAATGCATTGTAACTGACTTAGAAATATTACAACTTACTCCATGTATTTACATAATGCTATTGTTGCTGTAAACATTTTACCAATTCCTTTGGTAGAAATGCCTCTATAATATTTGGGGCAGGCAAATCTAATGGGGCAAATCTTTGTCCTGTGACAAAATGGAATGGAATCGGGAGAGATTTTAGTAGATTTTTAGTAACCGAGACCATTTAGTAGATTTTTAGTAAATCAGAATCAAGTATGTCAGATAAGGTGGGAGATCGAAATATGTAATACTAATTAGGGTCAAAGATAAGGTGGAACCCAAAAGTGAGGAGACCTATGAACTCCTAGCCTGAGAAATCCATTGAGGGAACCGCTTCTGAAGAAGAGTTCCAGAAATGTTTTGCATAACCATGGCATTGCCAGGCGTCACTTCTGGCCTTCCAAGGAACTACAGTTATTTTTGAAGAACAGTTCTTACTCATTTGCATAAGTCTTAGAATTTTTCTTAAACTTAGTCATACAACATTATAGTCACGCCTCAATGCCCTACATTAAAATAAATATTTTTTTAATCAGGAAGAAAAATACGCAAGAGTCTTCAAAAACAACAACAAAAAAAACTACTTTAGAGGAATCATTTTCATTTGCCATTAATGCTGGGGCTTAAATGACTAGAGGGAAGAACTAGGTGAGATCAGTAGGAGTTGGTGTCAGTAAGTATGTTAAGTACTTGTGCAGACATGAAAGTAAAATGCAAACCTCTTCAGAAAAGGCTTCACAGTTCATTTGTCCCTGGCAGCTCTTCTTCCTCTTTACTATAAATGAGTGGTAGTGAAGAAGAGTCCACCCAACCGACCTAACCATACCCTAAGGCGAGAGGCAGTTATCTGTGTTGGAGCCTCTGGTGCAAGCACGGTATTAGCAAATGAAAGCCGACATTGCTCCTTGCCTTGCAAACCTGTGTACCCCCAGCCATTTATCTGGGTCAAGTCAACTTAAAATATCCTTGGGAGGAACCATAGGAAGTCAGCTAAGCCTTGTTAGACCTTGTAATTATTCAGCCAACTATTTTCCATAGTCATAGGGTAGTTTGAGAACCCAAATAAATCCCAGTTTTCCTTTTCTGGGAGGCAAGTACCAGACTTTATAGGGATAGGCTCTGCAACTCAAAGCAGACAGAACTTCTCAAAACCATCTGGCAAAGTTACCCACCCGTCACCAACGTGCCGCTCTTTGATTCTATGAGCAGTGAAGCAAATAATCTACCCCCATAAGTTAGAGGGGCATTTTTTTCTAAACTCCACATGTAAATGGATGTCAATACTCATTTGATAGAGATTAAGAAATGGAAACATTGGCGTATTTGATTTTCTTGCTTATAATAATAATAAATATTCAATAAATGGCAGCTGTTCTTATTTGCCGAGCATTATCTGACATGCCTTATATTCACTCATTTATTTAATCGTTGAAACAACTTCCTGAAGTAGACACCATTTTCAATATTTCACAGATGAAGAAACGAGGCAAGTGAAGTAACTTGTCCAAGGTCATATAATTTAAGTGGCAGTCAGGATTTGAATCCAGTGTGACTCCCAGGCCTTCCATACAGCCTCTCAAAGGCAGATTTCCAGAACCAAGTAAAGCACAGAATTTCACAGTGTTGCTGGTTCCTAAACATGACCTATGAATTAAAAGCTGGACATATAATTATAGCCACAGAGAAACTAGTCCTCACCGAGGGCATTTTCATTGATTTTTAGAGATGGGAAAGGAGGAAGGGAGGGAGGGAGACAGAGACAGAGAGAAGTAGAAAGAAACATTAATGTGAGAGAGTTACTAGTAATTAATCGATGAGTTGCCTTGCACATGCTCCCTGACCTGGGACAGGCCAGGAGTCAAACTTGAAACCTAGATCTGTTCCCTGACTGGGAATCAAACCCAAGATCTTTCAGCATATGGCATGACATTCCTACCAACTGAGCCACATCAGCCAGGGCACGGAGAAGCTTTAAAATGAAAATAACAACTAAATTAAACCTGATCTATTAGTGGCTAAGGACCAGTTAGTTGCCCATGCATATTTGTGGGATGACATAACAATTTACAACACTGCCATGGTCTGCAAATTCTAAGATAGGAACTAATATTTCTGAGAACCATATTTGAATACAATAAGAAGCCTATTTCTAATACCTTATAAATTACCAATGGCTTTTACATGCCTTAAGTCTTTGAATCCTCACAGCAGCTCCATGAGCCAGCCATTCTTAGTCTTATGCTATAGACTGTGCAATATTATAGTTAATGTTGAAGCTCAGAAAGGTTGAAATATCCAAGACCACACATTTAGCTAAGCTGGGGCTTAAACTCAGGCTTTCTGACTCAAATGTGGCTTGTCTTACCAAACCACTTATCTCACTACTAGTTCGTTTGGCTTTTCTTCAAAGCCAGGATTTTTATATTGAAGGCTATTAATTCTTAGAGATTTCATCTTTTTCCAAAATAGAGATTTATTGGCCAACACATTTGGGAAACTATATTCATTTTTCTAATTGGCAAGCTTATGCCTGGTCCTCTTTACAAGAGCTTACTTTCATTGAATTAGAATTGTGTGTGAGGTTTAAATGTGTATAAAATATTCAGAGTAACTTCCCTCCATGTTTCTTGGAGGTGAAGGGTTCCAGGCCTCTGAGGCCAGACCTTTCAAAACTGCTTAGGGCAGCCAATGTGGCTCAGTGGTTGAACACTGACCTATGAACCAGGAGTTCACGGTTCAGTTCCTGGTCAGGGCACATGCCTGGGTTGCAGGCTTGATCCCTAGTGCAGAGTGTGCAGGAGACAGCCAATCAATGATCCCCTCATCATCATTAATGTTTCTATTCCTCTGAAATCAATAAAAATATATTTTTTAAAGTAACTGGTTACCTAAACATGCTATTGACTCCAGTATAGCGGTACAATTTCTGAACATTCGTTCTCCATACACAAGATCAGTTTCAAATAAATTTATGGAAACACATAATAAGCCGCTGGGCCCAATTTATCTATTAGTAGCCATAGCCAACAAAGAATTATAGCCTCTCTGAATAATTCGTCTGATAGGTTTTATGCCCCTTGGTGATGGTGAAAGATCAGTAAGCACACCCTATATTGGATCAGAGTTCCTTTTTTTTTTTTGAGAAGTGGGAACAAATGTGTTTAGTTATACTGTGTATTTTTTATTAAACTTCCAGTAATTAACCTTTCAAGCTCCTAGTTCTTTGTTGGTAGCAGGCAGGAAATTAGAGGAATAACATAGAGGAATGCGGATTCTGTTCTTCAGCTTCTGTTCTCCCATGCTCTTGAGAAAAGGCATTACTGTGGGGTTCCAGATGGCCAACAGGAAGGTTCAAGCTTTTAAATGCAGATTCAATCAGTGATTAGAATGAAGTAGGAATTTAAACTGTACTTGGGCTTTAGCTATCCCTACTGGCTCACTAGTGGCTGATTTGCTACTTTTTGAACTGGTGCAGACATAGCTAAGATTCATTAAGTTTTCATTTATTCATTCAACAAACACATTTTGGGTTCCTACTGTGTTCCAGGCACTAGATACTGATTTTATATTTTGTGAGTCTCTGTGCAATCTTAATCTTGAAATGGATTAATAGAAAAGAGATCTTTATTGAGAGACACAACTTTCAGAGAAACTTCCTCTTTGGGAAGTGTTTCAAATAAGATTAATTTCCCAAATTTTAATAAAACTTTGCCAAGGAATGTCATACGAAGTGACTACTGGGGACATTTGAGATCTTGCATCCTTTCCTGGCATATGTTGTCAGTTTGGCTCAAATAAACTCTTATAAAAATTCTCTACAAGCTTGGACATTTTTTACTGGTACATTGACAGACTCATATATTGGTAAATGGAATCATACAGTATACATTCTTGTGTCTGACTTATTTCATTTAACATGCTTGTTGGATTCATCCATGGTATTACATGTAATGGAAGTTTAAAAAGAAATAAAGTATCTACCATAAACTTTCATTCCAATTTTTGAACCCTCCAGAGCAGTGGTTTCTGTGTTTTCTGACGGTCTTAGGCTCTACAGCAACGGTTCTCAACCTGTGGATTAACCCATAGGTTGAGAACTGCTAGCAGGGTCGCCTAAGACCATTGGAACACACAGATATTTACATTACGATTCATAACACTAGCAAAATGACAGTTATGAAGTAGCAACGAAAATAATTTTATGGTTGGGGGTCACCACAGCATGAGGAACTGTCTTAAAGGGTCGCAGCATTAGAAAGATTGAGAACCACTGCTCTAGAGGTTTCAAAGATTGTTTTACAGAGACTGATTTTATTCACTGATGTCAGTTTGGGGATTTGGTCAATTTAGAATCCTGGAAGCCTCTTCAATTTTAGAGACTAGGTTGATTTCCAACTTCATAGTTTCAGGGTAAACTTTCTTCCCAGGAAATTAGAGCAGTATTTATTAGGAATGCTACTTTTGCCAAGACCTGATTACAGACCCAGCTGCCAATGCCAAACACTGAAAAAGTCAGATTATCAAATCTCGGTTTTATCAAAAGATGAGCCATCATCTCATTAGTCAGTGTAGTATTTGGTCAGGAAGAAGGCCTATGATCAGTCTTCAGAAATGCATCAAGTATGTGTAGACAATAAATACTTGACTTTAGAATCCATTTGTAAAGAGTTCTTAGCCTGAGTTATTAAGGCACAAAAGCCTCTTCTGAAATACAGGCTTGCTATTTGTTGCTGGGGCTGTGAATCATTTTGGACTTCCAAGACACTTACCAAGGGGTGATATCCTCGGGGAAAATAATGTTATTCTGTTCTTAGGGTCATAAATGACTAGAAAAAGAAAGGTCCAATGGTTAGAAAGATCGGGTATTAAATTTGGAAACAAGCAAAACTGGATGCTGGGTATCACTCCCGCCTGCTGGCCTGATGCTACAAAGAAGGTTTACGTAATGCCTGAAGCCTGAAAGTTGAGGTTGAGCAAGAACTTGGCATGACTGACATTGCACTTCTTCTTTCTGTAATTTCAGACCCGGATGCAGAGCCTACAGCCTGACCCAGCAGCCCGCTATCGCAACGTGTTGGAGGCCCTCTGGAGGATTATAAGAACCGAGGGCCTGTGGAGGCCCATGCGGGGGCTGAATGTCACGGCAACAGGCGCAGGGCCTGCCCACGCCCTCTATTTTGCCTGCTACGAAAAATTAAAAAAGACATTGAGTGATGTAATCCATCCTGGGGGCAATAGCCATATTGCCAATGGTATTGAGCCTTCCTGTGCTGGTTCTCCCATTTTCCCAACTCTTTGGGCTTGGCTGCTATCAATGCTTTCCAGTCTCAGCATGGTTTGGAGCTGAAGCTTTGGGCTGGGGTAGGCCAGATTATAGGGGAGGGACTTCCAAACCTGATGTTCTCAGACAACCGGCCGCTTCAACCCCACCCCTCCTTTGGGGCACCTCAACAAAGGGTTACAATATTCTCCCTTACCTACCAGCTTGACTCTTTTCCTCTCATCATCTCCCTGGCATCAACTTCTAATGCCCTGGTAATATGGAGACACACACTGAACTACCCCTGTGTATATTTCTTGATAGTCGGGTGGTGTCCTGCTCCTCAGCAGGATCGGAGGTGACCCAGCCACCCAAGGAAGACACTAATGGAGCCCCAGCTCTTCGCTTCACCTTTTCGGGATCCCAACTGACTAGTGGCAGTTTTTGTCATTGAGGACATGACAAGACCTCAACAAGTGAATGGGGGTGGGACCAGGGACTTTTGTATGGAGAAACCAGAGGGTTGAAGTTATGGAAGTAAGGAAATCTCCAGTAACATTCTGGGGATTGAGGATTGTCCAAAAACTAAATTGAGTGTAGAGAGCAGAAGGCAAGGAATATGGTAGTTCAATATGGTAGATAGACAGATGTTAAGATTTGGAGGCAGGTTGGGCTGCATAGGGGCAAAAGGATAGAAAGTCAGATTCTTTGATGGAGATTAGGCCACCTGCTCTTCATGTTCTCCCTCCATTGAAGGCAGTTGATTTGCTGGCATTCCTTCGCAGCAGTATATCTGTTTCCTATTTGGGGCATGAAAGTGAATTTTTAAAAAAAAAATAAAGTTTAAAAACTGATTTTAGAGAGAAATCAATTTGATGTTCCACTTGTTAATGCATTCATTGGTTGATTCTTATATGTGCCCTGATCGGGGATTGAGCACCCAACCTTGGCGTATCAGGACAATCCTCTAACCAACTGAGCTACCTGGCCAGGGCCTATTCTTGGAATCTTTATTGTTAAAATCTGGGCTGATTTACTTGATTCTTCCTGTCCTTAGTATTCTAGATATGGAATGTATGTTGGTGATCTTACTAAGTTGAGAACAAATAACGTTCATTTCTCAGAACAGGATTTTAGGAGCCGTAAGTTCCCATCTTTTGAAATGGCTCTTGGCATTCCCTCACCCCACTGTGGTGTAGCACAGCCACTTCCCTTAACTCTGAGCCTCAGCGAATCAGTCGCCCTCTCCAGACCTTACATGTGGCAGTTGTTTTCTCCTTTGCAGGTGCGGCCGGGTGTGTAGCTACATTACTTCATGATGCAGCCATGAATCCAGCTGAAGGTAATAATTTCTCAAACTTTCCCTCCGTGGGCACCTGCACCTGCATCTATTTCTGGTTTGTAGAAGAAAGCTTAGAAACACCTGAGTTTTGCTGGGAAATCCTGCCGTGTTACGTTGTCTTACCACTAGAGGGCGCTCCATCCATGTCCGAATTTAGGAAGAGCCCCTTGGACTGGTAGCATATTCATGGAGATTTAATTCATCTTTAGGGCTTCCTTGGGGAAAAAAAAAAAAGATGTGGCTCTACTTGGCCTGTTTCTTGGCCTTCTTGAAAGTCCCCTTTGTAGTGGAATTGATGTCACCTGAAGTATTAGCAGGTTATTTCAATTTTCTTCAAAGAGCTCAAGATGGATTTTGACATTTGAAAATACTGCCTTGTTGGAATGAAGATCATTGAGATAGGAATGAAAGGGTGAATTGTGGAGTTCAGTCCCTGCACTGTGGCTTGGATCTTGGCATTTTAATTGGATGATGAGGCACTCAAACAAATATGAAGGGCTAGCATAATTGCCATGTTCCTTAACTTCTAGTTCTTTTGCCTGTCTGGGCAAGGCCATTGTGTTCAAAGGGCCAAAACTGAAGTGAAGATCCACAGAGCTCGCACCATGTAGTCTACCTGAGGGTGTAGAAGTACATATTTGGAAACTGAAGCCTCACTCTTGGCTAGGAATTTGTTTTCTCTTTGGTAGTACTCTTCTCCTGTGGGAGGAATGACCATCCTCCTGTGGTAAGAGTTAGATGCTCTTAGTACCCGAGGATGCACTGTGTTCACTGCCACCAAGCCAGGTTTTGGGAGTTACAAAAAAGTAACATAATCATGATATAATGACAGGTAAGTACCTATTTCAAGGAAACCCTCTATCTAAGGTGTTATTTAGCTGGTTTTAAAAAAAATCCTGCAGAAAGTGGATTCATTATTTTTGGGCTTTTTGCAAACCCTCTCGGATCCCCTTCTCTCAAAGAAGGGAAACCTATCAGGCTGACAACTCACTCAGATTTTTTTTCTGTCTCCATTCCATTGGCTGACCTGCTCCCTTGGGACTCTGAATCTGGACACTGGCTCACCGGTTGGTTGTCGCCGTTTCTTCCTTCTCGTTGATGGCATTGCCAGTGGTCAAGCAGAGGATGCAGATGTACAACTCACCTTACCACCGGGTGACAGACTGTGTACGGGCAGTGTGGCAAAATGAAGGGGCCGGAGCCTTTTACCGCAGCTACACCACCCAGCTGACCATGAACGTTCCCTTCCAAGCCATCCACTTCATGACCTATGAATTCCTGCAGGAGCACTTTAACCCCCAGAGACGATACAACCCCAGCTCCCATGTCGTATCCGGAGCCTGTGCAGGAGCTGTAGCTGCCGCTGTCACAACCCCACTGGACGTTTGCAAAACACTGCTCAACACCCAGGAATCCCTGGCTTTGAACTCAAACTTCACAGGACATATTACAGGCATGGCTAGTGCCTTCAGGACGGTATATCAAGTAGGTGGGGTGACCGCCTACTTCCGAGGGGTGCAAGCTAGAGTGATTTACCAGATTCCCTCAACAGCCATCGCATGGTCTGTGTATGAGTTCTTCAAATACCTGATCACTAAACGGCAAGAAGAGTGGAGGGCAGGCAAGTGAAGTAGCACTGAATGAAGCCGGGGGTCCAGACACCACTGCTGTGCCCTCCTCACTCCAGCCGCAGTCTCTGTCTCCTGGCATTCTCCAGCCTTGAGTGGAGTTGGAAGGAAAGTAGAAGGCTCTCCCCAGGCTGCTGGTGTTTTGGCTAACACCAGTTACTGCCAACCTCCAATGCGCCACCTTTCCTTCCAGGCCCTAAGCAAGTGCAACAAAGCACACACAGCACCTTGGACAACCTCTCCATCCTGGGCCTGATGACCTGCTCTCGACTGTTAGGGAGGGATAAGCAGCTCAATCCCCCGATTCCTAATAAAAAAACGTTTAAGTTAAATGGTTTCATTGGGTTTGTCTTGCCAAAGGGAGCTGAAATATGTCAACTATTCTTGACGCATGAATGAAGGGGCCCAGAGGGAAGGTCTGTTGCATATGTCTATATTTGGTTTATGCTGATTTTCATGGCGATTTAAAACACTGAGTCCTACTCCCCTTGTTTTAGTAATTAGGCTCTAAGGACTCTCCCTGATGGCAGGAACAATGGGCCTTTGACAGATTCTAGCTACAGAGGCACTTTATTTGTTTATTTGTTTATATAGCTTTAATGGATTTCCTATTTTGTTTTTTAAATACTTTTTTTTTTTTTTTTTTTTTTTCAGAATGGGAGTGAGAGAGAGAAACATCAATGATGAGAGAGAATCATTGATTGGCTATCAAGCCCACAACCCGGGCATGTGCCCTGATCTTGAATCAAACTGTGACTTCTGGTTCATAGGTCTATGCTCAATGACTGAGCCATGCTGGCCAGACTAAATAGGTGCTCTTGATCCCACTATAGCCTTTTCCTGAGTGCAGGGTTATGATTCAGGAAAGATAGATCTCTCTTCCCATTCTCAGCTCTGCCTGCAGCAGTCAAACTTCCCATGAGGCACTTTGTTTTCTAATGCAGTTGCAAAACAAGTTATCGAGCAAGCTGCAAGTTGAAGATTAGATGATAAAGAATATCTTTCATGTTAAGGCTTTTACACGTACTTTAACATTCATGATCTCGCTCAAAATCTGAGAAGTAGTTAGTGCAGGTATCTATTTTATAGGTAAGCAAAGCTCATAGAGGCTGACTTGCTCAAGGCCTCACAGTAAGTGCAGAATTGGGACCCCAGCCTAGATCTTTTGTTCAAGAAGTAAAGCTAATTGTGCCATCCTGCAGACAGGAAATGAGCAGAGGGCATGCTCTCCAATCTGCCATCTAAGGAAGCTCCCTGCCTGGCGAACATGGGCTGTTTGGAGACTTTCAGGGATGGGGCTTTCACTGCTTTGTGAGTCAGTCGATTACTTTTTGGGGATATCAGTAGTTATTAGCAACTTCTTCAGTACATAGAGTAGAAACCTAAACCCATGAAAATTCCATCTATCATCCTTATTTGTCATTCATTTATTCAGTATCTACTGAATGTCTCTATGACAGGCAGCGATGTCCAGAAAGAGCTTATCATCTAAAGAGGAAGATAGATGTAAACAGGCAATTATAAGATAAAATGACAAGAAATATGGTAGGATAAACTTAGAATACTCATTCGGAGGACATAAGAATACCCAGCCTGGCCTTGACAACTAGGGGTAGGCTTTTGGAGGAAGTGACATCGGCATACACCTGGAAGACAAACTACGTGAAGAGAGGAGGGGGAAAGTTCTCAGCCAAATCTGGAGGTAAGAGAACAAGAAGTGTTCAGGGTTTGCTGTGCAAGTGGTTTGGTAAAGCTGGCAATCTGGGAGACATGATGCTAGAGAGCTAAGCAGGGGCTGGGTTTTATAAGCAATGCTAAGGAATTTAGAGTTTATCCTGAAGGCAATGCAGAAGCATTACAGGCTTTGAAGCAGAGGTGTGGTGTGATCAGATTTACAATTTAAACAGCTTATTGAGGCTCTCTGAGAAAGGATTAGCAGGGCAAGACTGGACAGGCTGGCAGTCGGGTTAGGAGGCTATCACATTTATCCAGGCAAGGGTGCAAGGTGGTCTGGGCAAGGGAGATGGAGGAAGTGTAAAATTGTAGCAACGCTGGGGTTGTAGAATCAAAAGGATTTGGTTACAGAACAAATCTGGTCCTCCTTCTACCTGACAGCCCTTCAAGTATCTATGGAGAATCATGTCTGAATGCACTTGAAATAAAACTGTCAAGAAAACAGCAGGGTCTCCTGTTCTAAGCCTTGTTTAAGTAAACTATGTCACCCCTCTGATTTAGCAAAGGAAAAGAGAGATGTTAATGGTGTTAAGCGGTGGTCACTGGAGTTTGACTTACTTATGAAGTAAAAAGCATTGCAGAGGTCGATTCAGAAGGCTTGCTGGTAAAAACAGCTGTTTCCCAGCTCGGACTAAGCATGAGAGCAAAGGGATGCCCTCCGGACTTCTCCCTGCAATCAGTCACCTTTGCAGAGCTGCTGCCTGGCAGAGGATCGGGACCACAGTAGGCACTATGGCCATAGGACCATTTTTCAAGAATGGATATGGGGTAATTTCTGAGAGAATGGTAGTCTCTAATAACCCCTTGAGCTCTAATACAGTTCACAAATAATGAGGAAAAAATGCAAAGGTGACCATCCAATCCTGCTTGTACTCTAGCTCCTGGAGAACAGTCGGTTTGGATTTTGGACAGGGCATTAGCCCAATCACTAGAGGAGATAGAGGCAGAAGAGACTATAAGGTCGAGCAATCCGGAATGGTGGGGACTAGACACCTGGGTCAGGAATAAGTAAGCCTCCCTTCCATGGGGTGCACCATCCCCACAGGAGCTGTGAGTTATGTGGAGCCTTGAGGACCCAGGACCAAGTCACAATCAAGAGGCCAATTAGTGCATAGTGCTATGAGATGGGAAAAGTAAAAAACAAGTCACAATTTGACCAGAGAAAACTTTTCTTCATTGAAGGTACAAGATAAACAGGAATGAAAGAATCTTGTAATAATACAAGACATTATAGCTTTGTATTGGATTATACAGAACCAATAATGATATTTAGGGACAGGAAAGAAGAGATAAGTGCAGGCCAGAGTTAACAGAAAAGAGGTAGCTTTGCTGAATATTAGAAAAAAAAATCTTTCATAAAAGCCAATAAAAGTTGAGTAATGCTAATTTTATACAATTTAGAAATCACACCTAACAAGAAAATACCTCTAGTCCCATTACCCAGAGAATATGACAACATTTTGAGGTAAACATCATCTAGTATTTTCCTACATATTTTTTAAATTTTCCTAAAGCAGATCACATTGTAACCAACTTCTTAGTAGGTGCCTGTCTTCCCACATTATTAAGTTTTCTTCCATCACCTCAATATGAATAACCACACAATGTCCCACTGCAAAAAGATACAAAAGCTTTTTCAGTCAGTCCTTGCTGCACCTTTATAGTAATGTATTAGGAGTATTGCTGAATGACCAAGAGGAGAGTAGGTAGGGTGGGTGTGGAGACGGTCAGAATGAGGAGACAGTTTGGTGTCACCTCTCAGCAGGTGCTGAAGAGATCCTGACTGGAGACCAGGGTACAGGGTACAGGATGGAAGTGATGAGGCTGGCCAACAGGAATGTCAGAGGTAGGATGATTTCTTAGAAGTCATCTTGCTTCACATTACTGCTTAGCCTAACCTCACTCTAAAGCATGCTGAACAGAGAGGTTCTCCACCCCAACTTCATATTTGGGAGCCCTCTGCTGCCCAAGACCACTCATGACTTTAGCAGTTCAGCATGGCAGGCATGGCTCAATGGTTGAGTGTTGAGCTATGAACCAGGAGGTCACAGTTTGATTCTGGGTTGCAGGCTTAATCCCCACTGTGGGTCATGCAGGAGGCAGCCAATCAATGATTCTCTCTCATCATTAATGTTTCTATCTCTCTTCCTCTCCCTTCCTCTTGAAATCAAAAAATAAAAATTAAGAATGGACTTGCTGGGTCATAGGGATGTATATGTTTAGCCTTAATAGATATTACCAGAGTTCCACAAGTGACATATGGCAGGAGCTCTTATCAATTTGTGCTCCTGCCAGCAATGTATGTTAGTTCCAATTTAGTGCAAATATTTTTCACTTTTAATTTGTATATAATTTCATTATATACAAATTATAAAAATGTTCTCTAAACATTTATTGCTATTCTCTAATTGCTAAAATTTTGCCACACACACATTTTTCTGAACTATTTATGCTCTTTTTACTACTAAATACTTCAGTGTGTACTTTCTAAGGACTTTTTCTTTTATACCCACAATGATCAAAATCAGGAAATGTAGCATTAATACAAAATTATCTGATCCACAATCCATATTCAGATTTCACCAACTGTTCCAATAATGTTCTATTTTGTAGCTATTTTCCCTGCTAATCCAGCATCCAATACAGATCACACATTGCTCTTACATCTCTCTTTATTCTAGATCAGGTCCTCAGCCTTCCTTTATCTTTCATGAACTTAATTATTTTTTAAAGATTACAGGCCAGTTATTTAGTAGAATATCCTTCAATTTTTTTGCTTCATGTCTTTTATAATTAGATTCAGGTTATGCAATTTGGGTAGATGCACCATTGAAATGATGTTGAGTCCTTCTCAGAATATCACATCAGGTGGCACATGAGGTGTTTGTCTCTTTATTGGTATTGTTGGTTTTGATCAGCTGTTTATGGTGGTGTTCACCAGATTAGCCCACTTTAGAATTACTAAGTTTCCTTTTGTAGTTAATAAATAATTTGTAGGAGGAACTTTCAGTTTATATAAATATCCTATTCTTCATTAAACTTCCATAGAGAGATAGAAACATCAATGATGAGAGAGAATCATTGATCCGCTGCCTCCTGCACACCTCCTACTGGGGAGCACGTGCCCTTGGCCGGAATCGAACCTGGGACCCTTCATTCTGCAGGCTGACACTCCATCCATTGAGCCAAACCAGGTAGGGCATTGATAATTCTTGTCTACATCATTTGTTCCTATAACAGTTGCACAATAATGATATTCTAACTTCT